GGTGGGTGCTGGATGAGAGGCAGGCAGGAATGATCTCATGTGAGCCTGCCTGTCCCAAATGAATACTGCCAATTACTGCCTTGATTATCTGAGTTAAAGAATTTGCAGTCCTTGATTTTCTGCCTTGGGAAACACTGGAATTAAAATTGTTCAGCAAAACTTTGGCATTGGTATTTGGTTAGCTATTTCAACCTCTAAACTCTTTAGCCTTAAAAGTTCAAGTAAGTTCATTTTCAAAGGATCTCTTAAAAATACACAGCTAAAACTTAAAAGACTAGCTGGAGATTCCAATTTCTAAGGATTATTTCCTGTTTACTTTTCATACCAGCTAGCTGAACTCTCACATTTCATCTTGGAGATAGGACACAACTGTCTGCAGAGGACATACTTTGTTCCCTTACACTCAGACAGGCAAAGGCAAGATGGACTCCTGGCTCTATTTGCTAAAAACATAGAGCAACAAATGGGAGGTAGAAAAAGCTGTCTTGGGAGAACGACACATAACTGAGCACAAGGAACTTCTTTGTTCAAGAGCACACGAATCAAAACACTGAAACTGCTGTGGTATTTTGGGTATTATCCAAAACAACAGAGTCACTAGTGAGAAAATGAAAACTGATATATTTCAGTTGGACAGTTTGTACTTTTTATGCTACATTCATGCACAACAATCAAAAGGCAAGAATCTGGAGTCCTTACTCAGCCTCACTTCCCACCAAAGTAGGGGTTTTACACTGCTTATGAAATAAGAAATGTTTTTTGTTGTTGCCTATAAAGACAGACAGATTACATTCAGCCATGGCCCAGAGGAAGGAAGACAGGAAAAAAAAAATAATAAGGGTGCTTGTTAAGACATTGACCTTTCTAAAAAGGCTGTAAGGGCTTCAGAAACATCCAGAAGAGAGGTTCTCCCCGACAGACTTCATCGCTATCAATACCAGGTTTTTCCATATGCTGCTCTGCTTGCACCCTTCATGCCATTGTCATGGTCCTGTGCAGAAAATATTCCAGGCTGACAAGAATGTCTATTTACGCCTACGCAGTGATTACTTATAGTCGCACAATTTTACTTGCAAATAAAAGAGAGTAAGTGTAAAACAAGTGTGCACATCCAGTATTAGGGTAGAGCATTTCTGTTGGTTCACTAAAATAATTTGCCTTTAGACAGGAAGAGTACATGTATTATTTGTAATAAAGATTTGAATCAGAAAGTTTTACACAAATGTCATCTTTAATAAAAATGAAGATTATCTATATATGAATTGACTTCAAACAACATGTTTTTAAAAGTTTTCCCTGAGCTGTCAGACAGCCTTTAGGGACTACAGGAAAAACACACTAATATAGCAAATGTTATAAATCCCCAGAATAACTCTTATCCCATTGATGTTTTGATTCTGTCATCACTATCCATCTATTGTTATCCTCAGGCGGTAATGAAATACAAGACCTGTTTCAAATAGGGATGAATAAGCACTGTACTTCGAAAGCTATAGTTAACTAAACGGAGCCCAGACTGCCATCAGTGCATTAAATGTTATGCCAATATAAATCCAAACCTACACTGCCGTAACTCTTCTGGAGCCTGTCTTCCATTACAGCTAGGGAATGGGACCAGGGGACGTGGCAAAGGAACAAATCTGGCAAATCTGAGGCATTCTTACTTGGACACAGTGCAGTCAATACGGTCAAAAAGTGGTGAAGGTTCAATTTAAAAAGGGTACATTTTTCAGAAGTGTCTGAGTCACACATAAGCCTCAAGGTAAATTTTTCATCATGTTCACATGATTCAGGAATCCTGTTTTCCAAAACCCTGAAGGTTGTGCAAGCACAAATATGTGACAGGTTTCCATATGTGACCCTACTATGCCATCAGAAGAATATTTTTAATACTATTTATTCTAAAATAGCAATGCTACCTCAACCTATTGACATTAATTTTCCATAGCTCTTAGTATAAGGCTAGCAAAAAATCACTGATAACAGAAAATAAAAAACCCTTTTAAAATTTTATTCACAGTTTCTCATTGGCATCAACCTACAATATCAAGGTTAAGTCACAGGAAAAATCATGAGTAAATTATGATGCACCCAGAGTCCTTGACTGCCCATCTGACTTTCTCCCATTAGGAAAACAAAAACGGCTCCTTTTTTCTCATAGAATGACATCTTGGTTGTTACCTGCTTCTCAGGAGATCACAAAAGTAAGATGACAAACACGCTTGGGGAATGGAAAAGAAATACATGTATATCTTTTCCAGTTAATATATATTATTGTTATTTGTTAGGGTCAGTGGCTTATGTGGTTGTAGTTAAAAAGCTACAGAAGGAATTGGAGATGTAGTCTTTTACTACAGTGTTTCTTATTTTAATCCACCAAGTAAATGGGTACAGTATACACGCAGGCACACATCAGGAAAATGTATCTGAAATCTATATATAAAGGGAAATAAATGAATAGGACGTCTGAGAGGCCAACCTACTGAAGAAAAAGCATGGTATTTAAACGAGTGGGCAGGCAGGTGGCAAAGGAGATGAGATGGGCAGGCAGAGAAGAGGCAGGCAGACACAGGGCAGTAGAACTGTGTGGCACAGCATTTTCCTCCTGTCGTCCAGCTTGCCAGACAGGGAGAAAACTGTCCTGTCTGTGAGCAGCACGCTGAACTAAAAACCTCCTTTGTCTCCTCTACAGCATGGTTTTGCCTATTTTTCCTGTCATGGGGAACATGATGTGGTATTAAATTATACATAAATATCAAGCAGGACTCTGTTGGAAATGAAAAGCTAATCATCCAGTGACATTATATAGTAGAAACTTATAATCAAACCAAGGAATTATCCACTAGCATTTGAGCAATTCAAACTGTGCCTTCTCTATGAGTTCATCTCTACTCCTGAAGAATAAAAGCTTAACAAAACATTCTCATTCCTGGGGCAAGGAGGATGTAATATTTATCTGCACTGGTTTCCAGTGGACATCTCATAAAATATTATGAAGTAAAGTAGTGGCAATTTAGATAATAACATGGCAAACTAAGTTACAAGGAGACACAAAAAGCTAACCATTCTAGAAAGTTCCCAGATTCATCAGCTCACAGCGTTACCAAAACTTGTGTGCTAAACTCTGCCAACTTTATTGTAATCTTTTCTTCATTTCTTTTTTTTTTAGCTATGGAGGTGCCTAGAATAGAGTGTATAGTTAGGCATAAAACTACAGCAACGTTACAATGGACTCAGATTCTTTATTTTCTTTCAAAACGGGCCATTAATTCTGATGCCTCTTGAAGCCTCTGTATAGTAATTCTCTGACAACTTTTCAGACATTTCTAAAAAGGAATTCATCTCTGAATGAAGCCTGGGGAATGGTAGTTCTGCCTTTTTTGCTTTTATACTTCTTCAGCACTAGAAGCCTCATATCCATTTATTTAAGAACATAATCTTGGGGAACACATGGGTAAAATATTTCAGTGAAGAGACTGGGATTACTACACATAACACAAGGAGGTAACCCCTAATGGCAACGACACTGGAACTGAAACGTTACACCACTTATCCACTGTCCTTCTACTTTTCCACCTATAAGCACAAACCCTTTCACTGACACAACTCTGGATGGCAATGAATGTAAATTTAACTTGGGATATTGAGAGTGCCACTCACTATAAAAGTTATTTTTCTCTTCACAGCCCTTTACCAAGGAGTAAAACAGATCCAATAACCACACTAAAATACCTCTTCTAGTACTGCAGAAAAATGCTTGGCTGAAGGGTGTCAATTAAAACACAAACACACATATACACAAAAACTGGGATTGGTAAAGTACTTAGGTTTTCGTTTTAGAAAGGGAGTCTTTAAACAAGGATCAGAGATCCTTTGGCTTCCACAAGTCTGGTAACTCACCATGTACACACATCTAAGATTTCTTGTGATCTGCAATTAAATCCAAATATTAGAATACAGGACTGATATTAGCAGTGATTTTGATCAATACAGCTTCTCTTCAAGCTGAAGAACCTGTCTCCAAAGAATTGACAGATGTGGAAGAGGGCTTCAAATTGGGATAGAGTCCTGTGCTACTAAACGGATATGTAATGTAGTTACATCCATGTTGTTGTATAGCTAATTCTAACCAGAGGTTATTCTATTATAAAGTCAAAATATCTGAAAACAATCCTAAGCAATGCATCCTTATTTTAATTTTTCCCTCCTCATGTAAATCAATGTATTGATGCTTACATGGAGTACACAATTCTGATTAATGAGAACTCTTAAATGGATCTGTACCCAAGGAACTGATCAAATGAAACTAAAGTGATCTGTACATAGTGGAATTCAGTATGTTGTTTCCTTCTGGTATATAGCTAATATTGAGGCAAAGTGTATCAAAACTTTTTTGTGAGGTAAACAAAAATTCACTTGCACTTCTTCTAATGAATGCTGGTAGAAGTGTAATGCAGCTGTAAGTAGTAGTTATAAATTGATGAAAGATGACAACTTACTGAGGGGAAAAAAAAAAAAGAGTTGACTGGTCAAATCATAAAACAGATTCAGATTTGGAAGAGACTCTGTAAGACAGCTGTGCTTTACCCTTTTCCAGTACTTGAAATGCATTTCCGAAGCACTGAGGCACCTTTAAAGTATATACAGCTACGAAGGATTTTTTTGATGGATGAGCATGTAAGGGAGAGGTAATATGCTGAACCTAGCAATTCAAAGTATGCAGGAATGCAGTTATCTTGCCACCCCTGAAGCAAAGCTTCAGTAGCAACACTTTAGAGCTTGTTATTCACTTGTATCAATGCAATTAGATAACAAATCACCCATCCTCCCCTTTTCACTAATCAAATGGTGCTCCTTAAAGAAGCAGAATCTTTACAGCAGAGGGCTCTTGACAAAAAGCTGGCTGCTCTTACATGACCTTGGACTTTAACGTGGCTGACAAGCAGAGCAAGGCTACAGCGTAAGCACTTTTAGCTGGATATAAGCAAGTATCCACTTACTGTTGGTTGCATAACATATGGCGGATGAGGCATCCATGAAGTACTCTGGACCTGCATATCAAATACTTTAAATTAGCACAAAAAGTTTAGAACAAAGCTCAAAGATTTGCTTGAAAATAGTCTATTACAAGTATGGAGCTAATTTTGGCAAAGGACTTAAGTCATGTAATTCAATGCAAAATTCATTTATGCTTCATAAAATTATTGACAAAGGAAAAAGCTTTCAAATTCAATTTGGTGATGTTTTCTACCAAAGTCAGAAGTCTGAACCACTGTGCCTCTTCTATGATCCACGCTGTTTTATCTCATAATGCAGTCTTCAATATTCCACATTGTCCTACTTTTCATTTGTATTGTTTGCTTTCATCCATCAATAGTCATTAAAATGTCATCCAACTAACAGTGCAGGAGACATAAAATGTTCAAAGTTTATTTTCAAAGGTATCTGTATGAACTTTAAAAGGTGTAACATATTCAGACACCCCAGAAAGATTTGTTTCCAGGAAGAACCGCAGATCTAATTAAGAGGTTTTGAAGCTTATTCTAATTAAAAGCTTTGATGGCAAAGCTGGCTTAAGGTGTCCCTGCCCTCCAGGATTAGCTCTTTCCTTGGGCATTGTGGGGTCCATTTCTACCAGAACTCTACATGACTTACCAATGTCTTTCCTTGTTGTTCTGCCTTGTAACTGACAAGTACCAGATTTCATAGACATACCAATTTTACCAACAATTAGTGACTGTTTGTGTATTTGGGGTGGCATCTCTGAGCCACAACTTGTGCTAAGCATGAACACGCTATAATTCCTCAGACTCAGCCCCAAGAAATGTGCATCCTAGTTTCCTTTTGCATGAGTCTGGGCACCAGAAAACACAGGAAGTACACAGTGGGCACCTCTCTAGCCATCCCCAAGATCATAGAGATGGGCACATGGCATCTCAGACTGAGCATGAGCAGGGATGATTAGGAGAGAGCTACAAGGTCCCAATTCTCCAGATGCCCTATGATTTTGTTCATGAAGAAAGTGGTGACAACTAATTGCAGAATTGTGTGCTTCTAGCCTTGTTGAAGTTTGTCAAAGTAGATTTTCTGTTGAAAAGCAAGTTCAGTGAAACATCTTTAGAACCAAACCCAGAGCACACACATTCAAACACACCTCTACTACAAAAGTTTCTGTTGTGACTCCTACTAGTTAACATATGTTAGAGCTGCCACAGCTTGCTGCTGTTCATTGCTCCCACTCTTGAAGCATTGCAGTTCCTCCTCTGTGCCAGGGCAAATGCCTTTGGGTTTACACTGCAAGCTATCTACGGAGAATCATATGGAATGAAAAAAAAAAAAAAAAGTTTTGGTGCAAATGCACCAAGCCATGAAACGATGCTTTAGTTCAAGTCAGGATGGGAGAAGGCAGCAATAGTGAACTGTGGAGCAGTGATGGGAGTAAGTGGCTGGATGGCCTGAATTCAGTGACCTGAAGAGGGAGGAGGTACGATTCTTAAGCCAGCTTTGCTACTGATTAACTTTCATGTGAGCTGAGTTTGTATGTTTCTGGCACTGACATTTATTTGCTGCTATAATTTACTGAAATTTACTGAATTTATCTCACCAGAACATCCTGTTTGGCAAGTGTTACGTAGTCATACAAGAATCATTCTTCTTTGAAGATCAAGTTTAAAACACAGGAAGTGTAAGCACAACCTCCCAGAATTACCTGTAAGCAGTACCACACCATCTCAAACTTCACCCCCAAGAAATCAACCCTAACGTTAATAACAACCCACCATGCAGCTTTGTGAGTTTAGGTAGCTTATCTCAGGCAGGACTCAGGAAGAACACTGATGCTATAGGACAGAAATAACTGAAATGGGAAAATGTATAGCTGATGACCAACTTCAGAGTAAAGTGATATTTTCCAGAGAGTGGCTAGTAATAAAACTATACAACCTGGTTTTGACTTCCATCTCGGAAAGCCAGAGAGCATGGTAGCAATTTTCCAGTGGAGATCTGTGAGGGATACGCTGAAAAGAAATTCTGAACGACAAAGTGTGTGTGAGACTGAAGAAGGCTATGAGGACAGTTATCCTCAAGTAACTTGCCTTGTCAAGGACTATTGTATAAAAATGAGCACTTTTAAATGATGCTGTTACTGGAGCAAAAACCCCCACATTTAAAACTGTCAGCTAATGAAGGGCAGCCAAAATGACAAGACATTTCAGTAAGAATGATAAGCTTCTGCTGCTGTCAAATAGAAATGAAGCAAAATTCTCTTTACTAGAGAAGCTGCTTGAAATAAAAAAAAATACTCTGGTTTTCATTGCTAGTGTAAAGAATTCAGAAAACACTTAAAACCCTACACCAGATGATACCTGAATACTACTAGAAAGCCTTTTGCTTAAAGTGTGACTCAAGAGCTCTAGCACTCAAAGAATTTTCTGTGGTATAAGCTCTGTCTTCATCCACATCCAAAACATAATTAACTGGGAAACACAGCAGACAAGTGCAAATCTGACGTACCTGATATGTAGAGACAGGGGAAGCAGCAATGAATGGCGTGATTGATGTCTGTGGAATCATGCGGTTTGTTGGAATACTGTACGGTGAGGAATAAAATCTGCAAAGAACAAAAGCGAGAATTTTTTGAACCTTTTGACTGGTAGGCTTTGACTAACTAATTCACTGCCTCCGAGGCAAAGACAATCAGAATCTACACAAGTAATTATGTCCATCTATTTCCAAAAGTACAATAAAGAAGATGTGATGGCTCCACTGAACAGATCTTGAAAATGGAAAGGAGGAGGAATATTTACACTAAGCATATTTTTTCACTTCAACTAGCACAAATATAGAACTTCATGATACAAGAAGTAATTATCTGAAATGCAAAGACAGCTGATTTTCCAGAGTGCTAGATAGTGAAAGAAATTTCTTATGTGACATTGAAGACAATATTACTGATTTCAATTCTACATGCGGTACTGTTTTCTTTTCAGATCTTAATGCTTCAGTGCTGAGAATAACACATTCCATACACATGCCTGACTTATTTCATTAAGGGATGGCTACAAAAGCTCTGGCTAAAATTTTCATATTCATCTAGGTAGACAGAAAAAAATCCACCTTCTAGTGAAATGTATCAGGAATTATGAGACTAAATGCCCCAGGCAGCATTGAAAATCTCAGATTTAGTTGTTTTTATTTCCACTGTTGCATGTTATGAACTGAAGTTGCATTATCCGTTGTTTGATGGCAATAAATGTTCTATTTCTTCTCGTCCCCTGTGGGTTAATGATTATTGATAAAATAATCACTTGGAAAATATCGCTACTGATGGATTCTGTAAGTACTTAATATGTATGTGTTTGTAAAGATTTTTGCATTTGCCCTTTTTCCAGTTTTAACTCTAAGCCAGAAAAATAAAATTGCTTAGAAAAACAATGTTTGTGGTCTTACAGCTGTCAAAATGTTGCTATTTTGGACTCCAAGAAACACTCTTGTGCAGTGTTTGCTTGTAAGATTTAAATCCTATGCAGATCGTTCTCATATAGTGTTCACCCATCTTACATGTAACAGATTTTGCACATATGCTTTCTCTGTAACAGTGGATTACACTTCCTGCCTTTTTATAGGTTTTTTTTGATGTTGTGGTTTTTTTTTCTCCTCACACTGAGGCAATCAACAGTGGCTTTCCACGAGAGCCATGCAACACAAATATCATTACTGGTGTTTAAACAAGTGCTCTATTTCCTGATCACCCTGGCATCCTGGATTTAGTACTAATCAGTCTAGTTCAGACTGGATGCATTCATTCTGGATGCAGGCTCAAAGAACCACTGACTTCATCCAACCAATAGCCTCCAAAAAACAGGCTGCTGTCTCTGTAGCTTGGGCAGAAACCTTCAAAGTTAGGAGGGGAGAGGGAGACAGAGAAGCAATCATTTGTTCTCTCTGTTCCAATAAGATTTTAAAATGCCAAAAGCAGCAGGTGGCATCTGAGTGATTGTTTAATAGAAATATATTGCTATTTTAGGAACATTTATCTGCCCTTACAATGCTTGCACAGAGACTATTTTAAAACTGTACCTTTGCCCAATTTTATATATATTCTATTATGACAACTCAGAGGCATTTGTATCCCACTGCTTGTATCAAACATTAAGTTCATCCAACACTGGGTGGGGGGAAGGATTTTTAAACCATTAGCCATGTTCATCTATCGCATTAGCATGATGCATATGTTATCTACATCCTGTTATAGGGGTCTTTTCCCAGATGAGGTTAACCAGAAATCTTTTTGGCTATGCTGCTGCTAAGCAGATGGACTAAAAAATGCTGTGTGCAGCAAATGAGAACAGTCAATGGCAGACTGAGAGAATTTACTCTATGAGTAAAATTTCTAATGTGTAGAAATACATATAAACCTCTTAAACTGAAGGACAGTGTAAAACCAAAAATATTTTGAGAAAAAAAAGCCCCATTTTTGTTCATTCTGTTCTCATTCTGTCCACCAGCCTGGCACTAATACTGTGCTCAGACCATGTATGAACTGCTCGGACAAAGATGAGTACAGGGAAGAAATAACCTTCCATTTGGAAGTAGCGCTGACTCTTTGGAATAAACTCTCCAGCATGTCCCAGCAAATACTACGAAATTTACAGAAAACGTGTTCTAAGCCAAGAACTTGACAGACAGCTAAACATTTCAGTTTCAGCTTAGAGATGCAGTTATCTGAATAGTACATAAGCTTGTAGAATATACACTCTGGTGATGTGAAAAATACAACCCTTCCAACACCCCTGCCAATACCATTTATCTGTCGCAGCTTGGAATGCTCTCAAATAAGCATCAAATAAAATGCAGTATCAGGACACTCAGCTAGAGTGTGAAAATTCACGCACCAAAGCATCAAAGAAGAGAAAGGCAGGAAATCTGACGCAGTAAATGACTATGTGAGAAAATCTAGTTAATATATTCCAAAATTAACAAATTAAGTTTAACAACCTGAGTCACTGTGGCAGCCTGTACGTTGAACATTTTGCAACCAGGAATCCCTTATATCCAGTGACAAAGGCTTGTCTTCCTGCCACAGCATCACTTGTGACCAAAGGGATCTAAAAAAAGGGGGTAGATATCTCTGCCACACCTGAAGTACAGTGGTATGGTGAGAATAAGATTGTCAACAGTGACAGTCTGAGGCAGATGTGGAATACTCAACCTGTCGGAGCCATGCACCGCTCTGCTCACACACCTACTCACAAGGAGGGCTCAACATGCTGTCACCCATGGGACACAGAGGTATCTCTCCAAACTCCCTTTACATAAAAACAGGTTAAGATCCTAATATGTAATTGGCATAAATGACATGCTGGGGACCTAATGAGAGAGAGGAGGACCAAAAATGTACGAGTAGCCTGTTCTGGTGCAAACCCTAGAGCATCCCAACAAGATCTGCTCCTGCTGACCTTGATGTATTTGATCTTAGAGCTTTCCCTGTTGTTTTTTTTTCTTTGGGCTTAGGGAGGGATGAAATGAAGTGGAAGATGCATGTTACAAGTAAGTCCAAGGGAATACAAGATTCTCAGTCATCAGAATACGTACACCAGAAAAAGGAGTAGAAAGAGATATATGTTATACTGGCTTTGACTCATCTTAGATATGTTCAACTACACCCCCAGGTTCCCTGGCATTAAAATATACAGTAACTATTATAGCACTTTAAGAGCTGTAGGCTTTGTGGTAGTTGACCCATGGGCTCTAGGGAGAGCTCTCCAAAATCTCAGCTGCATTTTCCACAAATGTAGTTTCATCCATGCAGTTTTTTGCACGTGCAATCCAGTATACCTGCTGCTCATGTGCAATTGCAGTGCTAGAAGCAAAAGTACAGAAAGGCAGGTGGCAGGGGTGAGGCAAAATTGACATCATCCTTGTATTAAAAACAGACCTTAATCAGCATGCCCAGATTCCATAAGCACAGGGAAAATCATCCCTAGGACGCAAAAAGCTGTTCCTAGATGCTCCCGAAGAGCGGTCCACAAAAGGGCTCAAAAGGAAATGTTTTTAAGAGAAGTTAAAAAGAGCCATATTCTCTGTACATCATCAGGAACATAAAGGCAATGTGTTAAGATGTTGCTTAACAGACAAAGCACATACTCCCCCTCCTGCATCAGCCCTCTGTCCACATTTGGGGAGTGCATTACGTGTAGTCTGGTTTGGTCACTATTTCCCTGACAAAAAGGCAAAAAAAAAAAAAAAAGAAAAAGAAAAGAAAAAAAGTCCATATGGTTCTCATCCTACGGGGGAATGTGCAAACTTCCACACAGAATCTGCACGAGAGCAAGATCCTATTTGCACTGCAATAAACACCATTTGCTCATGCCTTGTGCCTGGGGGCAGTACTGAAAAAGTTAGATTCGTAAATAGTATCCTGGGGCTCATATAATGTAAGAGTATTACCAAGCGTTATCAAGGCAGCAATTTTCTGTTGCAGTAAGCTACATTATAGTCAGATGTTTGAGATGGAAAAGACCTATCTGAATATTGAGCCCACTGGTCAGCAAATGCACAGTATAGTCCCCTAGACATCAGATATTAAACTGTTGCAGTACACTGCAATCTTAGTCAAATGGCCAAGAGGATTCAAGCCTCAGGAACGTTTTAAATGAGCATCCTTACAGTGCAAATACTACAGTTCTATTTCATTTTTTGTATGAGTGCATTAAATCAACAAAACAATATTAATACCACAAATTGAAAAATCAATAGCATATTACAACAGGCACACTACTCCCCAAATAAAACCCGCAAACCTTTGTAAATGCAATTCAGAAAAGGCTGACTGTAAAACAAAAAAGGCACAGAGACTGACAGATGAAGAGGGCTTATCTATTGAAGTGTGTGGTTACTACGCCTTCAGTATCTCATACTGCTATGCTACGGTACACGAGCTGGATTCTCCACTCCATTATATCAGTTTTACACCAGTGTAACTCCAGTGGATGCTTAAACAGAGTTACATGTGCATAAAACCAATATAATGAAATGGAGAATCAAGCTTTACAGTGTAATAGACTCAGAGGAAAATTATCTATTCCTTTGTGAGGAAAAAAATCTTAGCCTCTCACTCTTTCGTTTTATTCCTGCTATAGATTTTCAAGGCAAACATGCAGTTATACAGTAATAAAAGTGAACAGTACTACACCACAAGCAATGAGAACCCACCTTTTCATGTGGACAACATACAAGATTCCAGACCCTTCCCTGCAGCTTGGTTATGCCCCAACCCAAAACCCAATATAATCCATGTGTCTTAAGGAATCGTGACACCTGCAGAGACATGTCTCTCCCTAGTAGGCTCTCATCCTCCATATAATCGTGTGTGGAATTAGCAATTTACATGCATCAAAATGCTTCTGTCAATGCCACAAAGGACTCTACTAAACATCAGCATGCGTGATCAGTCTTTCTTTTTAAGTTTTATTGGTAGTTCATACCTCACCTGAATCTTCACCTTGGCTTGGGTATCTTCACATTTCCCATCTCCAGTCTCAAGTCACTAAGCTCCACCCTGATGGGCACCCAAAGGACTGGACTGTGTGACTCATGCTTACCACAGCATGTCCCGAGCTGCATGTAAGGTCAACACCTGCTTAACCTGACCACTGCACTGAACAAGCTTGCTACAAGGAAGTGATCTTTGTTTTACAGATCTTTGGGTAACATTGCTCCATGCAAACCTGAATGGCTTGGTCTACCTTACTACCAAAGTATTATGCGGCATTTTAACTACAGGGTGGGTGTGGGTACAACATCAAAAGAAGAGGGCACAAGCAGCAGTTTTGTGCTCACTTCTAGATTGCTCACTAGCTGTGAGGAAGGCCAGCAGGTTTGCCTAAAACCCCTTCACTGACGATTAAGTTAGCCTGGTTTACTTCTTAGTTTTTAAGAGCCCTTAACTCTCTTTCGGCATGGCCACACACCTGCTATGATACCTGTGTCTTATGTCAGTAAACAACAAATTGCATTTGCACATTTTACAAGCAAAGCACTGAGATGTTCCTGGACTTAGATAAAATAAAACCCATGAGCTAGATTTTTATTGTACTTGCAATTAAAGAGGCTTATGAAAACCACTAAAAATTTATGACTATGGGATATGTAGAGACTATGAAGTGAATGCCTGGGAAGCTAAAAAGAAACTGGGTAACCAAAGGGTTCTTGTGATCCTCGGGTGACAGCATTTTAAAGATGCAACCAAAGAGTGGAACGACTGTTGTGTAACTTTTGGCGGAAAAAAAAAAAAATCAATTTTTCTGAATAGTAAGAGCTTCTTCTAGTGGGAGATGTTTCTGAGATGGTTTTGTCCCGATGAAACTGAAAATATTTTGACATTCTAAAAGAAGAGATATGTCAAAATGGTAATTAATTGTCACTCTTACAGAGATATCCAGTGCTGTAGTTTATTTCATGCTTTACAAATAAAAGAGTTATTTAAAAAACTGCAAAGCTGAAATACTCCATTGAGTACTACTTCTTTTCCCAATGATCAGTGACAGTGTGTTCAAACAACTGGGTGACCAAACCACCTGCACACCCTGAATACCTGAGCACCTTGGGTACTCTGTGATATAAATAATGTCTGATCCTGAGATAACTTTCAAAATTTCCAGAAACATGATTCTTGAAGTAAGATGGTATTCATATCAAAGCATCATACAAATTACAGTTTCCAAAACATTCCTGCAACTGACATGCTGGACTTCATCAGAAATAAAAGCCAGTTGTCCAAATGAAACACTGGTGGACTATGTACTAGTGAGGGTTTTATTTATAGCCTATAATGTGTTACCAGCTGAAAAATATGATGATAGAGAAGAAAGACTTTGAAAGTGTTTGGAAGGTCAGAACAGGGAAACGGAACCAGAGGATCCTGAAATCACAACTCTGAAAAAACCCTCTTTCTCTGAGCTTCTCTGATTTAGCCACTTCCCCCAAAGCATGGGATTATCGTAAGTCCTACAAAGCTACTGCTTGTAAAGGGCACTTAAGCAAAATACACTAACTATTACCATTGATACATTTTTTTTTTAACTACTGGGAATGTTATTCTTTTCATAAATGCCTTGACTAGCAGTGCCCTAATAAATATTTAATAAATAAACCCATTCTCGTCTGTATCAATATATTCCTCCCTTCAGCTGGAGAACACAGACGGAAGTATGAATGGAATTTGATAATCATATCAAACACCTCTCTGATCCAAGACTGACTGTCTAAGAGTTAAGGGCCGAACCTCCTGATTTTCTACCAATTGTTAACCTAAAGGCTAGCTAGATTTCAAGGTTCAGTTTTTTAGCTCATGAAATAACTGGAAATATAATCATTCAGGTAAATGACACGACAATGTAACATCTCTGCTAAATTTGAAAAGATGCACAATTCTTCGTGTCAGCAAACAGTAGCTGAGAAATGAAGAGTGTTGCTGAGAATTTTACCCCTAAATCCCATCTGCTTACACATAGGCTTTCTTCCTATTTGGCATTTCTATTCAGACAATGCCATGGAAGCCAGCCAGCCTGTAGAGAGAACCCTAGATGAAGTAACAGATCTATTATCTGAAATATGCTGGAACCTTCAATGATTATTTTAACAAAAGCAAAGTCAGTAAAGGGAAACTTTACTGGTTTCCACTTCATGACAGAGACAGATTAAAACATCCACTAGCATTTGCCAAACGGAGATGGAAACTATTAGCAAAACCAACTTCCAATTCAAATGGCTATTACAAACAAGAGGACGTAAAAACAAAAGGGAAACTAAAAGAAGAACTTGACAATATAGCATCACATGCTTCAGACAAAATAAGACTGAGTGAATTAACTTCTGAATAAGTTTCACCAGAGAAAGAGAAAACAGAAGATGGCATTCAAAATCATTTTTATAAAGGCGTAAGAAAACATGCATTCCTTACCCATTCTGTATAGCAGCTGTTGGATCATAAGTCAAAGCCATGCCAGCCTGCACATAGTTAGGGAAGAAAACAGATTTTTACTATTACCGCAGGGGAAAAAGAAAAAAACAACCCAAAACAAGAAAAAACCCATTAAACATATTCTAAGCCAATATGAATAAAAGCTGACTGGAGCTTAGATGGAAATCTAAATTCTCCAGGGAAGCTCAGATGGCCCAAAGTAGCACAGACAGATTGGCTATGTCCCCTGCCTGTGAGATCCCCAAGAAACAGATCTGTTCAGTATGTTGATTGTCATCTCTCCATAACGTTTAGGGCAACTGGTGGTTTTGTGGCACCAGTATCAGTTAATAACTCCACTGAGATCAAGGCATTTACATCTAATTGCCCACTGTAACAAGACAGGGCCAAATCCTGCTGTTGCCTGTGAGACAGGTAGTTAGTAAATACTCTAAAGCCAACTTCACAAAAGCTTCTCAGGGAAGGAGTCTCATCTTTCTTACAAAAGTAAAGCCCTGCATGACCCCAGTCTACCATTTCCCTAGGCTGTTGCTTGCACTTACAGTTAATTCAATACCACATGTCAAGAAACAAAATGTGGGCTGTGAAGCAGAAAACACCAACCAAAACCAGAAAAAAAAAGAAAAAAAAAGAAAAAAAAAAAAGAAAAAGTTCTTGAGATTTTAAGCAAGGCTTTTAAAATACTTCAGATGTCTGGACAGAGAAAGAATTTGTTAATTGGCTACACAGAGCCTTTCAACTGCCATTCATCACCAAGCAGATGGTGACCTGTGCGAAAGGATTTGGCAGCATCCAGTTAACAACCGTCAACACCACCACCGTTAGCAGACATCCGCAGGTACTGCAGGAAAGGCAGGGAGAGAGCAGGGCTGGGGACTGAATTTCCCACTTTACCTTGCGCTCTAAGACAGCAGTCAGGTCATGCAGGAAGGCCCAGTTTCTTCCCCAGGACTTAAAGACATGGAAGTAACAATCTCTCTCCCACACACTGCATTTGCTTTGATTTTTTGTCTTCCTTCCACCACCCCCTCCCTTTGTAAAATACTTGCCAATGTTACACTACCAGGAGATGGGAAGACATCTCTTTCTGTGTAGGGCTAGAAGCAGAGAGGAGAGGACACTATTATTCAAGATGCTGCTCTCCCTTTGGGAGCAGTTGAAAAATGGCCACAGCACCATCCCACCCCAAAGCACTGTATTTCTCTCCACTTGACATACAGACCATATGCTCATTGCCTGAGACAGAAGCCAGAAGCATTTGCTACAAGAACAGGTGCTTTACCAACCACACAGCAGAGCCTGTGCTCCTGGTGGGAGGTCTTAATGCCCCTGGACCCATCTACCAAAGTGCTTCTGAATAACAGCATCTGCCCCCCTCCAGATGGCTACTCAGACAGGTCAGCAAGCATTTGGGCTTGGCCAGCTCCCATGCAGGCAGGTGAACAGCCAGGGTAAGTACTCTGGTGATGAGCAGGCAGAGAATGGGCAGCACTCCTAGAAGAGCCAGGTTAGCCCGGCAGCTGCACACTGGTCTAAGAGGAGATTGTCCAAGATTCCAGAGGCCAAAAGTAACTTCTGATCTGAAGGTGGTAGGCTTCAGACTACCTTATGTAGCCAAGAAAAAAAATGTTCATGTCACTGTTATATTTGTATATTTTTCTCATTCTTTTAAGCAGATGCTAGGGCAAACACTTTGCTTATTGAAAATGCCATTGTTTTAATAAAATACATACTATCTCCCAAGCAAAGGATAATTCATGAGAATAAGGCCATGGACACACGGCTATTTTTTTAAAGTGCACTGATTTCATACAAAGAAAAATAAAAATTACTATTTCTGGAAGTTTAAAATGTCAAAGAGTCAAATTTAGGGTGACTCCAACCACTTGTTGATGTAAACATAAAGTAGCTTAGAAAATTATAAGGGATGATCAACTTGTTTTTATAATTTTTATGTCTTATATATTCCCAGTGTATTATATTTTTTGGTAAGGTTGCATTAATTACTAAAGGAAATGTATACAATTCATCCGAAAAGAGAGCTGTCATGGTTTAAACCCAGACGGTAATTCAGTACCACACAGCCACTCGCTCACTCCCCACCACTTTCCCCCAAGGTGGGATTGGGAGCAGAATTGAAAGAATGAAAACCGTACGAGTTGAGATAAGAGTATAATAACTAAAGTACAGTATAATACTACTACTGCTAAACATAATGGTAAGGAAAATAACAAGGGGAGAGAATAAAAAACTAAAAGGGGAGGGAGAAGAAAAAACAATAAATGCAAGTGATGTACAATGCAATTGCTCACCACCCACCAACTGATACCCAGCTGGACTCAAGCAGTGATTGGTCCCTTCTGGGTAACTCCCCCAGTTTATATACGGGGCATGACATGCTGTGGTATGGAATACCCTTTTGGCTAGTTTGGGTCAGGTGTCCTGTCTCTGCTCTCTCCTGGCTTTTTGTGTCCCTCCTCACTGGCAGAACATGAGAGACTGAAAAGTCCTTGATCAGGGTAAGTGCTACTGAGCGACAACCAAAGCACCAGTGTGTTATCAGCACTGTTCTCAGACTAAAGCCAAAAAAGCACAGCACCAGCTACTGGGAAGAAAATTAACTCTATCACAGCCAAAATCAGCACAAGAGCCAATAAAACTTCAATATCATAAAAAAATTTTGTCTGCAATATATTTTAGATAAAAAAAATCCTAATGAGGGTGCAGAAATGATAAATTGCAGCAGCTCTTTAGTGGAGCTCTAATAATGCTCAGTGTGCACCTGAGATGTGCAAACACATGTTTATGCCACTTTCAGTTACATGTCTCATGGATATTTGAGCACATGGTCGTACACAGACCTTCACCGTGCCCTTATGCCCCAGACCTGCATGTGGGTTCCTGCAGACAACCTGCATATACTCCATGATATATATAGAATAGAATGGTTAGTGTTGGAAAGCACCTTAAGATCATCTAGTTTGAACCCCCATGCCATGGGCAGGGACACATATATTAGCATCATGTCCATTACATAGTATTGGTACTAGGAATAAGGGACACCACTGTGGGTTTGGCAAGTACAAAATATGAAAGTCTAGGCATTCATAATTTTATCCATGCTCCATATCCATACTGCAAGATGACAGATTACCAGAATCTGTTCAAGAACTTCAGCAGTGACAACTATAAATATCGCTACCACATTTGCCTGTAAATGAAAGTTTCACATCAGACAAATATGAACAGTGTGTGGCAATGTGTGCATATGGCACACCACCTACAGTTTGCCCAGTAATATTGCTAATATCCTCCCACTGTTGAATAGCCTTAAACAGCTGCTATTTCAAATAGTTGCTAACAGAGGACTATTTACTTCTTTCTCATCAAGTTGTGAAATTCCTCTCTACAAAATTAAGCTGGCTGGAAGCCCAGGAGAGGCAACAGTTAGCCTGGACCAGTGAAAGATTTATGGTCTGAAGCATCCTTATTCATCAGGAATAAAAACTGATGCGCAATAACAACTTACTGGAAAATTATCTGCACTTTCCTCCGTATCACACAAACAGGAATTCCAAAATGCCAAATAAAAAATATTGATTGGCCTCAGACTTCCACATGATAGAGGTACAGCTTATTCTGTCAAAACCAGAACTGAATATAGCTGTCACTCTGCTTAATGCAGTATTAACTACACTGAGGCACTGGGTGGTGCCTCTACAGCAGCTGTGCTGAAGAGTATTTTCTTCCAGGTCTTTTCATCTATTGTTATGCACATGTTTCAGTACTAGGACAGGGTCTTACTCCTTCTTCTAATAGTGACATTTCCTGATAAAAAGCTACCTCAGAGAGTGGCACTGATGATGGAATGCTGTTTTAGGAAAATATTTGTCAGATAAATCTTCTATGAAGGGACAGCTGAACCACAGAATTTTTATGCCACTCAGCCAGATAATGGGCATATGCTCAGCTACTGAATGAGCTCCTGCACCTCAGCATTTCAACATGCAATCTCTTAAAGTAATAATAAAATAATGAATATCTGCTATCAGTCCCACACATAATAATAAAGACCATTCTCAATGGTTACTTGACCAGTCTGTTCAGAGAGTCACTTGACACAGAAATAAAACCAGCTCTTTTAAAATACTGATTTTTTAAAAAGACTATTTAAACCATATGTCTACTTATCACTGATTTTTATCGAAGTGTCTGACCTCAAGACAAAGGAATTAAGATTTTTACTATTTTGTTGCTGCAGTTTTCTAATTAATGACATCAATAAACAAAAATTCTAAAAACAAGAGACCCAGTCTGAATCTTTCTTTAAATTTAAGCTGTTTCCTTCAATAAAATGTAGCAAATAACAAAAAGCTTCTGTAAGGCAAGGGCTCACCCAGGAAGTCTGAAGTCCTGTACTTAACACTTCAGTGTGAAAAATTTTCCATAGGCAAAAATAAGGTGTTCTGCTTCTGGGTTTTTCCCCCATCTCTTTGTTATGAGTTGAACATAAATGAGCACATTTGCCTCATTAAAAAGACTCTTAGACAATTGCATTTGCATTGCTTATGTAAACTAGATTTGTAAATCTCTCAAAGAAATGATTAAGTTGTGGAATGATTATTGAAAAAATAAGGTGGGTTTATTATTTCTCTTCTGAACCTCGGTAAACTCTCACAAGAACCCAGTATCTGGCTTCCAGCAAACACACAGCTTATAAATGATCAAATTTTAGGTTGCGTTTTAGGTTCTGTGTTGCTGGGAAGCGGCTTTCACGAACAACTTCACCAACATATCATTATGTGGGAGTTATACAAGAAGATAAGTCCCTCTTCCCCATCCACTCTGATTCATGCCCTCATCCTTTCACACTGGAGGGCTGCCATCTCAGGGGAATGGCTGTTTTCTTGGCTACTACAGTGGAATCAGTTGAAATTTCAGCAATGAAATTCCTGGACTTGTTTGTTACCACTGCTAATATCTGCCAGGCATCATAGCACAAGGATCTCTTCTGCTCCGAAAGCAC